AAACTGTCAGCGATGGAGCTACGAGGCAAAACAAAAGAAACAGTGATGCTCTTTCTCTGTAAGCCTGGCAGTCCACCAGAGGAGGTGACTCAAGAGGAGAAGCTTGCTGCTGATAGTATCCCCTGTGGAAAAAAAGGCAATGAATGAAAAGAGCTCTTGGTCAGGTCTGAACCACCTTTATTCTGCATGCATTTATATACTATGATGGAGAAAAGGTTTGCTCTAATTTATCAAGAGACATATCATGGAGAGCCATTTCAAACTGGGTATTAAAGTCTGGACTAATTAACTATGCTTAGGAGTACTCAGGGTGAGAGATCACCATAATACGATGCTCTAGTTTCCAGCATCAGAGGGCAAAAGTCATCTGCAAGAAGAGGAAAGAAAGTGACTTTGTATAGAATATCCCATGAAGCAGAAATTACTAATATTCCATGGATTTAGGGAAGAAACTGCTTAAGAGCATGCTGTATACAAAGAGACTTGTTACTTCCCCCTGCCATGTATGTTCTGACCTAAAAGGTGAAATAAGGGAAACTACAAGCAATAGCACTGCAGTGCTTATTTAGAGGGGGCAGTGGGACAGGCAGTCAGGCTCTGCTGTGAGTGAGGCAATCAGCTGGTCAGATCCAGCAGAGGAGAGGACTGGAAAAATGGTTGAAGTTATACTACAAGCAATAGGTATATGCCCTTAATATGTTACCTTGTTTTTCTGTTTTGGTCTTCTTTTTTTTCCTTCAGTAAACTAGCGCTTTTTAAGCTGATTGATTTGTGCTCAAACTGACTGAGCAGGTGAAGTTGTTCAATTTAGTTTACTTTTCTCAGGTTTCTGGGTGGAGACTCAAGGTGAGGCTTTACTATGAGGTTTTATTAAATGTAACCCCAGCCCATTTGTTGCCAATCAAGTTCTGTCAAATAGGTGACATTCATGTTTAAGTTTATCCCTTTTCAGCTGCATAACTTTTATTGGCCTCTACTCCAAATGCACCGACTAAGAATTCAAAGTTCATCTGCAGCACGAGAGACGACAAACAGAAAAACGTGAACTCCAGCAAAAATGATCCCCAAGTCCTGAGTGCCTTCCACATTTGTATGGCATGCAGCCATCTGCTTCAAAAGACTGACATTCCACATCTAACATCTTCTAAACATTTAATAGTCTGCAAGCATGGCTTTGGTAAAGCTGTGTTACTGACCTTTTTTAGCCAGGAGTTGCCTTTGAAACAGACAGGAGGCAGAGATCTGGCTTTCAGATACATTTGCCTCTCTACATTGTGCTTTTTTCCAGGTCCTTTTAAATCTACTAAGAATGGGTGTAAAAAGCAACAAACTGATATACGTTCACACTGAACAGAGGCAAATGTAGCTTTCTGTGCAGGAGGCACTTTTTGAGATTCTGAGAATTTGGAGGTTCTCCTGGCTGTTGGAATGGTGGGCAGCACTAAACCAAACATTTGTGTGTAATTATATATGAACAGTAGCTGCCGTCTCAGTTGAAATTAATGCATGATTAATTTCAGAACAAGCAACAGAAGGCATCCTTCTACTTGGACTATGCCTTTGTGATTACTTTGTAGGCAGTACTTGCTGCAATAATCTAAATCAAACATTCCCTGGCTAATAGTATATTAGGTAGCAACAGTGTAAACTGCCATGGAGTGCTCTAGTAGCCCGAAGCACGGCATTATCGGGAAAATGCGCAGCAGTTGAGAACGGGAAATTCATGGTAGCTTTTCTATTTCTTCTGTTGAAATTAGTGCTATCAATTCTAACTGATGCCTGTGACACCTTTCCATCTCTCTAATGAAAACAGGGCCAAAATCAGGCTCCTTTCACATATCCTGAAAGAAGAAAGCTTTTACAGGGAAAACATTACAGAAAGGAAGTTCAGCTAGCTAGGGTTCTATAGATACAGTGTCTCCACCTGCAAAAGATCTTCTCATTTCACTCATCAGCCTCTTTTCAGGATTTGATTTTTGAGATGGCTAACTATTGAAGAAGGATTGAACTATTTGAATTCTGGTACATTTTGGTAAATGCTAAGTGAGACAGTTTTCTGGTGTTCCACAATATTAATGTATTTTTAACATATGAAACAATTTTGTCTGATGATCATAAAGAGTTAACTCTTTTTTTTCCCTTTTTTTTCTCCTCTAATAAGCTCATTTTGTGTCTTGAAAAATGATTATGATTCACTACTTTGATTAGCCCTTAGGCATTCAATCTATTTTTCTTCCAGTACAGAATTAGGAAATTTGAAGATAAAACAGATGCTTGAAAGTTCACACATGACTGACCTAAGTATTCTTCAAACGAAGTAAAGAGATTACAAAGAAATTTTAGGGCAGGACCTGATCTGTGCAAAAATGATATTACCAAATCAACACATCCTCCAACCCAGAAAATAAGAAAAAGAGCATGATTTAGATCAATTAGCACTTCTAGTGAAAGACATTCCCCTTGCCATATTGTATTCTTTGCTGGCTTAAATTTTTCGTAAGCAATTCTTTCTCTGTTCAGCTGAGGCCTTTTTTTTTCTGTGTAGGGTCTTAAAATTTGAGACAGATTATTTCAAATTATTAAATGCTAACAGTATTCTTTAATGACAGTTTAAAAAAAACCCAAAACATTACATCTCATTTTCCTTTGCTATATAATATATTGTAACTTGAGCTAGTTGGGAATTTTCAATATAAATTTCTTTTCTTTTATTGTATTAAGTGTCAGGCTGAACATTAAATCAATCTAACTATTGAATTGAATAAATTGTTTTCAATCTAAAGATGCATCAGTGTTATTACACATTTTAAAGACTTTTTTTCCTTGGCAATCCATAGTTGTTTTAAAAAGATCTGTAGTATAGAGCTTGTCACAAATTCTCAAACCGACATGTCAGCACTGGCACTGCCTGTCAAACTTACATCAATGCCTTCATGTCACATGGCATGAAGTGACATAACTCAAAGTGAAGGAATGAGGTTTATTGGAAATTTCTGTTAAATAAAGCACAAACTATTTAGATAATTCACCCTTTTAAAGAACATCAATTGTTAGCAAAGAGAAGTAGTTTTCAGCTTTGAAGTGCAGCAGCTAAGCAGCTATTACACATCTACTTTCATCTAAGAGATACAAGTTTTAAATTATGCTATTTATTACTTTTCTGTGCAAGCTAATTTGGTAATTTTCAAAATATTTGTTAGGTGATGAAAATAGACAGAACATAAAAATGCCATTAGCAATAACTTTGGATAGAAACTGATGATCAAGCCTTTTTCCAGTGCTGAGGTTCACAGAATCACAGATTCGTTAGGGTTGGAAAGGACCTCTGGAGATCATCCAATCCAACCCCCCTGCCAAGGCACGGTCACTCAGAGCAGGACAGGAACACATCCAGGTGGGTTTTGAATGTCTCCAGAGAGGTAGAATCCAGCACCTCTCTGGGCAGCTGTTCCAGTGCTCTGCCACACTCAGTGTAAAGAAGTTCTTCCTCATCTTGAGGCGGAACTTCTTGTGTTTTAGTTTATGACCATTACTCCTTTTCCTGTCACTGGGCAAATCACTGCTGCAAACTAGCCCAGCACCCTCTGTAGCCAGACATAGGGTGCTCTCCAGTGTATATATGTCTGTCTGTCTTACTCACTTTTACTCTGGATGCAACTTTTGGCCAGGGGTTCACTGCATGGAAATCAATTGCTGGAATAACATACCTTAGAGACTGTAAACTTCAGATAGTCCTGTATTCATATGCCTGTCTAAATATAGCTCATTTTCCGACCTTGACTTCTGAAGTCTATAGACTGAATTTGGGAAGTAATTTTTAGTTGGATTGCTGGTCTTGCTACAAATTGTGTAGAGAAACAGCATAAGGAAACTTTTGCTTTAATTTTTGTTTCCTTCCTGGAATCTGGGGAGCTGGTAGACTCTTGTGCATGTTTAGATGAAAAAAAACCCAAACCACATCACAAAGCCATAGCACTCTGAACAAAGCAGCAGTTTCCTGGCACCTCCCATGAGAAGGCTAAGAATGAGAACCTGAAATGTGAGTTAGCTTCAGGACTGTGCTTCAGACACTGTCACAGTGACCTATTCCATGATGAGACAGCCCTGCAGCCTGCTATAGTTATTTTTGCAGCAATTTTTAATTTCAGTTTGTGCTTATTTTTACATTTTTAGCTTATACAAGTTGTTCAGATACAAGCAGATGCAGCAATGTATTGTAAATTTTACCAATTCAGGACCTGGAATTGTGCAAAAAGGTGCAATTGACTGGCAGTTGGTAAAGAAAATTTCACATCAAAAAGAGAAAGAAGGGGAACGTTGTGAGGACTGAAATCACACTTGATTCCTACATTGTTTGCAGAGGCTGCTAAACTGGCAAAGAAAGTGGAACATTCCCTCCAACTTAAGCAAGTTATTCTGGGAAACCACATCATTTAAAAAAATAAAAGTGGGACAGAACAGACTGCTTAGAGATATGCACCTTAGAACCAATATCAGGGCATGTGGAAAAAAGCAGTTCTCACAGCTTGTTTCTGATCTGAATATCCAGTATATAGCTGATTACAACTGAGATTGTACAACAGTGGGTATTTGCATTAGATTGCTTGATGATGACAACTTGATGCAGTTTTGAAGCACTTTGAAATGCAAAATTTCCTTGTTTCACTACAGCAGCATATAAGCGTTGTGAAAGATCCTTTTTTTTTCATTAAGAATGAAGATCACAAGGCCACATTCTCTGAAAAGGCTAATGTCATTAACTTAATGGAGCTACACTAGCACCTGCTTTTGACTTCTACTGAAGCTACAACTTACTTAGACTTGCCTTGGACCTCATACTTATTACATCATCAACAAAGCAAATTTCAGTGCTCTGCAAACTGCAGCAAAGGGCTGGCTGCTACCACAGTCAGTTGATACACAAAATAAATTTATTTCTGGACCAATTTGTTTCTAATTTGTCTGCTTCCTTCTATCCTCTCCATTTGTATTACTTATAGGTTATGGAACTCCCGAAATTACAGTGCCTTTCTGGAGCTCTAAGTCATCTGTGCTGTTCACATCTGTGCTGCAGATCACTGTGGATAAATGACTGAGTCCTGTCAGCCAGCTGCAGTTTTATTTTGTTTCCTACGGGCATCAGAAAAGAATAATGCTGCAACTGAAATGTTTTGCAATGATTGATATGAGGATTGATATGAGGATTGACAGGACGAGGCTCCTGTAAATTTTCTCTGCTATTTTGTCCTGACACATGCCTTTAGATGAAGGATGGGGATATTTTTCATTCTGCACTGGTGGCTTTTTAAATTATGTCAGGATCATTCTATGTTTTCACTCTCAAAAAAAAAAAATAATCCTTGTTAGTGTCTTTCTCACATCCAGGCTGTACTAAGTTCCCAGTGATGGAGAGAAAGATCACATGGGAAAAACATATGCTATGGTATCTTCCAGGAGAACAACTCCCTTAGCCTGGTCTAAGCATGCACAAGACACCCTTGCGTCTCCCTTCAGCTGCTCTCTGTGGGGATTACGGATCACTTATTTTTTTTTGTCTTACGAGGTCTAAACAACACGCTGCCGCCCACGCACAGACCTCCACCCTCCCTCACA